TGCAAAGATTTTTTGCTCTTGTTTTCAACTTGAAATTCTTTGATTTTTAATCGTCAACAATTAAGGTCAAAATACGAAACTGGAACTCAATGTACAATAATAAAATAAAATACAAATTGCGTAAATCTAGACAAATATTTCCGGGCCAAAGATGGTTACTTTTGTTTGATATGCGGCACGGGGCTTGGGCGGCGTGCTGGGCGCCTTCCTCACGGGCGGATCAGCTGAGCCGGATGCGAAGCTGGAAATAGAACTGGAACTTGAGCTGGAGCTGAAGCTGAAGCTAGAGCTCTTGCGTCGGCGCATGCTTCGCAGCTCGTCGCGCAGCTGTTCCTTGTAGACGAGCTCCCGTTTGCAGGCCTGCAGCTCCTCGACGCTGCAGTGCTTTAGCTGGCGTATGGTGCGCGAGACCAGGCCGTCGATGATGTGGATTTTGGTACGCGACAAACGTGTCGGCTCCGCATGCCGCCGGGTCAGCTCACTTTGATACTGAAACAGCAAATAGCCCACGCTGGGACGTGCACCTCGACGATTCTGACTGTTGTTGCGTTGGCTTTCCATGGCAATTGTTTGGGCTTCGAGAACTCAGTTACTTCGAGCGGATGTGTGGCTGTGACTGCTTGGCAGTGCGAGCTGTGAATGATGTCCTCTTGTACTTTACCAGGATTATTTATATCTGGGCCAACAGAGGGAGGCGCCTAGCTACCTGTTGCGGCAACTGGACAATGGCTTCTCTGTGCTTGTGACCTGTGCGCGGCTCGCGTAATTACCTGGTGTCAAAGTGCGATGCCGTGTTATCGAATCACCAGATTGTTGTTGCCTAGGTAAAACCCACGTTTGCTCTGGTTTTTTCTCTGGCTTCTGTTGCAAATGTTGTTAAATGGTTGACGGCCCTTGCAAAGGTTGCCTTTGATTTATTTGTCTTGACTGAATTTTCGTTGGGCAGCAGCAACAATTTATGACTCGACCTTTGTATTAATATGCCAAGCTCTCTAGAAAACGCTTGGCTAGATTGTAGTCGTAAAAGCGAAAGTGTTTGCATGGGGCACTCATAGATACCCTAGCTTCAAATATATTCCCAAATATGAAATATTCATACGTTAATAACTAGAGTTTTCGTTGGAATGGAATGGAATTTTCAAGGCTGACATATGGCTATCTAATGTAGCTATATACCAAAAATCAAGGCTTTAGAAGAATCTCCCTGGCTTTGCACAGGTCACACTTGCGCACCCTTCCCGCCATTACCAGGCTTTGGCGCTTATTAAATCGGCTGAATTTTTCATTAGCTCAACTAATTAATACGCTTGAACTACTTCCATGTCCGTAGCCCTTGGCCTAATAAATGTGCTTTAATTTTTGCAGAAATATAATTTATTCTGGCTGTGCGCGACCCTCTTCCACGGAGTGCTTATTAAATATTTATTTATGAAGGAATCCCCGCATCCAGCCGTCTGATCTCCTCCTCTCTCACTCTTTGCCCCCCTCGCCGGCTAGGGCTAACATTTGAAAATTACTTTGAGCATAATTATTATTTTCACTTAATTTAATTGAGCTGCCGATGCGAAGTGCTCTAAATGCGCAATTTTAACTAAAACTTTAGCTTAATTATGTTAAAATGTGTGCCAAAGAAAAGTGAAAATTCCCGCTCCATTGTTTGTCTTTCACTCAACGCGCTAAGCGCTGCGACTTGTCAAAAATTCTTCCAAATGTGCTCGGCTGCATTCAACGACTACAACAACAACAACAACAACAACAACGATAACAACCGTAACAACAAAAACAATTATAACTACGTAAAGCCCACATCGAGCTCTGCCAGTGAAAGTTCGACAGGGCGCTTAAGCTTTAAATATTTTATTTAAAATGTCCTTTGCGTAGGCTCTTTCAGTTTAAAGAGTTGCTTGGAAGCAGGCAAAATATACTCTATAAAAAGTTCAAGGAATTCGAATATGATTTACATATACAATCCGAAATGTAGAGAGATACGTGCTAGATTCATGGCATATGCTACATATCCGTCAGGGTATTTGAAGTGCGACATTTCGTAGTTAAAAAATGCTTTCCTACATATTATGCTAATGCCTTTGCTATGCCTTATGCATGCCTCGCAATGCTCATATATGTATAAATACATCCATTATAAGACGCTGCTCGTTTTGTGGCGCTAAATGCAGGGCCCGCGAGTCACACACAAAGACGAAAACGTAGACGAAGACGATAAACGACCCACAAAAATCTGAAAAATCCCTCATAATGAAAATATGAAAAGAGCAATCGAGACCTTGGCTCATCGCCCGAACCCATTCAAAATGAATGAAAAGAGTATTGAATATATGTTAAAGGGTGGAAGGAGGCATGGCCAGCACCAAAGAGTACATATATTATAGGTGATATGGGCATGAGTTGGCTTGGAGAACTACGAAAATTGAGGATATATTACCATTATACCATAGAGTACATACATTCTTGGGCGGGATGAGGAGCTGCATCAATATCGGACACTACGAAAACTATTCTCTTACAACATACATGAAACGATTGGATTATTCTCTGTCGATATCTACCTTTCTCCCAGTTTCAGAGCCACAAAGTCTGTATTCTTTGCATAAGTCAATGATTTTAAAATATATATAGTATACACAAATATATATATGGACAAAGTCGCCTTTTGCATACGTCCCCCATCATAGTATAGTATTAATTATATATATTTATTAGGAATAAGTCCCACTTTGGATAACTCCCCCAATTTCTCCCAAAATTCTTGAAGAAAAGTTCATTCCTGTAGGCAGAGCTTTGATATACACACTCTATTTCAAGTCATATTTAAGCCTTGCAAATTTCATAAAGATCAGACTACAAATACCGAAGTTAATCGAGACTTTATTTCCTATAAACAATGTGTCTGCCGTGGTTAGAAGACGCAGAAGCAGAAGAAGAAGCAGCAGAAGAAAATGCAGAAGAAGAATCTACTGCGTAATGTGCGGCGATGAGTGTGTGTGTGTGTGGTTGTTCAGCAAGTTCAGCTGGTGCGATCTCCTAGTCGGGCACACTCAAATCGTTTGCGGTTGTCTTGATTATAATTGTGATTGAGCAGCAGCTGACCGATAAATTTGGATGCCTGAACGAGCACAACTTCGCTGCCCCGGGCACCTTCTCCTCACTCCTCTCCATGCTGAGTTGGCCAGGTGGAGCTTGGAGCGGCGAGTTGCGAGCGTTGAGCGCGTTGAATTGGAAGCTGTCTGCGAGCTGTCAAACGCAGCTATTGCTGTCCGCATCGATGGCCGCACTTCATTTTTGGCTTTGACCTTTTGTTACCTGACCCGCCGGCCGCGTTCACAGGCAATGTCGTGGGTGCGGGGCGAGGCAAGCGCTCATAAAACGCTGATGCGTCGCATTTGCTTAAGCCGGCGCGTGGTCTTTCCCAAGTTCTTAATCCGGCTGCGAACATCCTTTTGTTATTCTACATTCCCGCTACTGGCTGGCAATTATAAAAGGATTATGCCATTTGTGACCCGACTGTCCTCTGCCTCTGCCCGTCAGGCACTTCCATATATATTTCATTATGACGCACTTTAATGAATTACCTGGAAGTTGTTAGGTGCACAAAAGGCATCGGGAATTTCACGCGAGCTCTGTGCAAGTTCTAGAACATTTTTTGACTCTCACAATGGCTATGCTAATGAGCCACAAGATGCGACACATGGAAGCACACGTGACAATGACAGCAGCAAAAGCACCTAAACAAACAAATTTCAAGAACTTACTGGAAATGTTACCAAAAAAGGAAAACAACGCACGAAAAACCAAGCTGACAAAAAGCATAAGTAATGGTAGAGTACAATGAAGACTCGTTAATTTCAACATTCGTTATGACAGCATGGTGAACGTTTGTTAATTAAACCATTCAGTTAATAGAAATTGGGACTTCCGTTTTAAGAGTAAATATATATCCAACCCGTATTCAGCTAAAGAGAGATAAGAATTAATCAACTTTATATGTAATATAAGTCGTAACAAAAGACTATGATGCGTAAATACTCAAGATGATGCGTGTATTCCTTTACAAATAACTCGTCAAATGGTGCATACCATAATGAGAACATTTCGGATATATTCCCCGAATCGGAAAGTGTCATTGTAAAAATTAAAGCCCTAAGCTTAAGTATGTAGGCACGTTTGTAGTACATATAGTATGCATAAAGATCGGGCTCTAAGTGCCGAAGTTAAAATCAGAAAAGCATTTCTTATACATAGAGTGGGATTATGGAAAGAAGAAGCACAGTTGCGGCGGAAAGTGTGTGTTTTCTTGTGAATGAATTAAAGGAGGAAGCTGAAATGCATATTAAATGAAATTGTCGCTCCTCTGCTATTTTCTAATATTGTGTAGGCTAATAATAATAATAATAATAAATATACAACTGATAGACTGGCTCCGTATATGTTGCTTACTCTTTTCAGTTCTAGATAGAAAAAGGTATAAATTTTAGATATTCAATATATAGTTGACCCACATTTCCAGAGGCAGCCAATGTTGTTTTCGTATAATGAATATGACAGAATATGTCAGAAAATGAAATATGGATCAATATTAATTTTCATATATATATATATACAACTACAAGTTCTACCCTATAAAGAAGACATATCCTCTTTAGATAAAAATATATAGTTGATCCACAATTTCAGTGGCAGCTAGTTTTTCAATTCATATAATACAAATGACAGAAATGTGGATCAATGCTAATTTTTGTATAAATTGCCTTAGAACTGAAAGACTGGGTTCATACGTTTTACCTACCCCTTCAAGCTCTTCATATAGATGCCATATCATCTGGGGTAGTGACCTGTTTCTCAACGCCCCGTTGAGAACGCGACAAGTTCTTTCATGCCTCGCTGCATTCGAGCAGCTGGCTTTTGCGCTTATTTGTATTTGCATTTGGATATGGATATAAGTGTGTGTGTTATGGCTTGTAAGCCAAACGGTTAGCGTTCAAAGTGGATTAGGCCGGATTAAGCCACGAAATATTTTTGCACAAATATTTACAGTTGCCCGACCTGAGGCCAGGCACAGGTACAGGTAGCACCCAGGTAGAAGCGAGGCACATATAAACCACGTTCAATGCGACATTGTCTCACACTTGATCAACGGCAAGCAAAGCAACAGCAACAACTCAGACAAAAATGGAGCACGACAAGCTGCTGAAGCCAACCGTCTCGTATCATTTATTCCTGTACCGCGAGGAGCTGGCCAGACGGAATGCACGCCAGCTGCGTCTGTCCCGCACCAAGATCGAGATCACGGACGAGCTCATCTCGCGTACGGTGCGCAACATCAAGAGCTGCAGCATGGACGATCTAAAAGCGGTCAATCGGGAGCTGATGTTCAAGCGCAAGCTGCGGCACAATGTCTCCAAGCTGCGCAAACAAGCCAAGACGCAGAAGTCGCATTCATGACACGAAGGAGGAGGAGAAACGTAGACATAAGTGGGAGGTTATCGAGGAGCGTCAACAAAAAACTGTATATAAACATTTTGTAAATAAAAACTCTGATTAGATTATGCAACAAGCAACGGTTGTCTTTTGATGCTGTATTTAAAAGTATGCTCAGAAAAATTGAGCATATATACTACCAATGAATAGTATTGGTAATATTGATTAGAAATTAAATGCATTCTAAAAACATTGGCAATATTTCTAAAAGGGAGCATAAATGTGTGATAGCCATACAGTTTTTCTAATTGCAGAAAAATGTTCAAGAATATAGAAAAATGTTCTAAATAATTATCAGAATAATTGTTATCTTTTATAAACAATTTATTCCTGAAATCTGCTTAGTTTCTGCCAGAGGGAACCTTTCTATTTTTCTGCTCCATTACAAAATAATCACATTCCAAGGCGATTGGCTCTATTTAAAAAAAGTAGTAGCTAGAAAAATATCTTATAAGCAAGTAAAAATGTCTGGAGCTTAAAAATTTTTCTTAAGGCCAAAAAAGATTTCTGGAACATAGAAATAGGTTGCAAAAGTGAATCAGAATAATAGTCAGAAAATAAAAATTGATTCCCGAACTCAAAGCTGCGACATAGCCAAAAAACTAGTAATAAGCGAAGCGGGCGATTTGGGTCATCACAAAAAAAAAGCTCAATAAACATTTTGTCAATAAATGATACTGATAAAATTCTGCACTGGAAACGCTTACCGCTTGCATATTATTTGCCAAAACTTGTTAATTTGATGGTCTATTCAAAAAGTGGAGAAGCTTAAACCCCAGTATAAATGGAGAGAGAGACGAAAAAAAACTGTGTAGCTGAATCAGCAAATGCCGCACAAAGGCAAAATATAAACTTCTCCGACTTGGACTCAGATTTCGACTTGACTGCAAAGGCGAAATACGCAAAAAAAGTCGTTTGCATTGAACAAAAGTAAATGGCTAAAAAGCTAAGCAAAAAATGAATTTCATGTTAACGGCAAAGCAAAACCAAAATGCTGAAGCTCCCTGGTGGAGTGGCCTAGGCAAACCCCCCCCCGCCTAGGCTAACCAGTTGCAAAAATATTGATTTTTTTGTGGTCAACAACTTAATTAGAAATTGCAAATGCAATTAAAAAACGCAGCGCCACAAATACGGCCGCCAATTTTGTTAAATCAAATTTAAATATATAAAAAATGTATATAGAGGTTTTCATATGTATATATGTCTATGGCCGACCGCTTTGTAGCGCCATGAGAAACCGAAACAAGTTCGCTGCATAAATTAACCAAAGTCAAAGTAACGAAATCAAAGTGCCAAACAGCACCAAACAGCAGCAGCAGCAGCAGCTGAAGAGAGCGCAAAGATCAGAGTTGATTTAAACACACTGCAAAACAAGAAAGCACTAGAAACATATACTAGACGAAGACTTAATGCACTCACTGTCAAAGCAAAGCGATTAAACTTGGATAAGCTAAAATAAAATCCGTTTATCACATAAACATTTCACCGAATGCGCACTCAAGTAAAGCCTACAATAAACAAATATTGTTGTGATATAAGACTCTTAATGCAGGTTACTGGTTCGAATCCCTTGCTTTTAAAAAAGCTTGTGAGTTCAGTTCGGCTTACGCAAGCTGTTTTCCAAAATTTTCCGTCAATTTTGCGTCTGCTGTCAGCACAGTCTAAAAGTGTTGCACACAGACTTAAGTTCTGCGCGTTTCACAACACTAGATATCCTTTATTGATTTCTTTTGGATAATTGTCAATGCTTTATAAACAAATTTTAGATTTAAATTTTCATTTCAACATATTTATATCTGCGACATATAAATAAAACTGAACTTAAGAGAAGTAGCTGGTTCAAATCGATGCAAAGAATATGCACATTGCCATTGGTAAGCTTAAAGTCTCAGTAATTTCTAACACCATTAAAAAGGCGAATTTAATTGTATTTAGCCATGTTGCAGACTGTTAATAATAAACTATTTATAATTATTGCTAAGTAGATTCCCCACAAAATGGAACCTAAAAATAGCAAAAAAGTGAGTCTCAAACCGGCTCAGTTAGCTGCACTTACACATAAATAATATGGCGAAGCGCACTTTGATTAAGTTACGTATGCGGTGCTAGAGTGATGAGACCCTGGGGAAGTGTATGCACAGAAAAAGTTAGCAACTAACAACAAAGTCACGATATAAATAAAGAGCAGTCAACGTTAACGGCGAGCAATTTTTTGTTGTTGTTGTTATTGCTGGCCTCTTGGAGCTGCAAAATTTATAACTTGACATTGTTGAATTTATGTGGCCAAAATGTTGTAATAAAACTCGAGCCTCTCAACACATTCGGGCCAAAGTCTGGCGCAGGCTGGCCGTGCGGCTGGCGCCAGCGCTTGAAATGATTGCAAATATCATTCCCAATTCAATAATTGTCTTAATTAAATATGTGCACATTAAGCATATATATTTAATCATCAGGCATTAGATATTGGCAGCGCTTTTGGGCCATCAAAATTCTTGAGATACTTTTGTGGCTGTGGGCATACATTTTTGAACAAAAGTGAATACAAAACTTTTGCCGGGCCGCAAAAATAACAGAAAATAATACAGAAATAAATTAAGAAAAATTGACTTTAATTAATCCTTATGAGTTTATGCAACAAGAACAGCAACAAATTTTATTTCGATACTTTTCGTGCTGCTTTTGATTGATTCCGCAATTGGAGCGTTCTCAACTCCTAAATCCGGCCATAATCCGTGTATTTATATAACATTAAATGCTTTGTTTTCATTTCATGGCATTATAAAAGTCGCAACTCAACTCGACCCGGCTCAGATTTCGACGATATCTGAAGGACAGCTGGGCTTAGAGTTCTGTTCTGCTCTTGACAAATGGGCATTTTGTGGCTGGCCATAGCAACAAATAGCAGCAGCAATAACAGCAAAATCATCAAATCACGACTTGAGCGCCTTTGATTGACGTGCAGCCAGAAACGGCGAAGCACAAAAACGGCGACAACAATAACAGCCAAAGCAATGGCAACAACTGATTGTTCATAATTAAAGCTAAAAGGCCCGCGGCAAGAAATTTTCGCAATGATTCTGTGGGCCGTCGCGGCAAATGGCAAATGGCAAACGGCAAAGAGCCAGCCGAGCTGCAAATTATCTCAGACCAGTAACAGTATATAAACTTATATAAACATGCACTGCGAGAAATTCTTGAGAATGGTTTACATTAGGTATCAGATACTCAAAACAGAGTTTTGATACTTAAAATAAGCTTAAAAATGTTTGTAATTTTAATTCATATTTTCGAATTACCCAAATAAAAATGTATATGTCAAGAATTAGGAAACTAAGCAAGTAGTCATTGAATATGGCTTAAAGGAAGTACCAAGTACTTAAAACAATAATTTGTATACTAAAAACAAGCGTGGAGCAGACTTAATTAAGTAAGATATTTTTTTAAAAAGGTACTCTGAGATTTATGTGTTAGGCTTATCCCAAATCAATATTACAACATTTCCGAAATTAAGTATTGCTTTTAAGATGCAAATTTCGCACTAAATAATTACTTGAAATAAGAATTTTCTGCTAAATCTAAGCTATTTCGAACCTCTGCGAATTTCGACAATTTTGTTCTTTCGCTAAGTGTATTTGCCATGTATCTGGCAGCAAATACCTGCAACAGTTACATAGACAACTTCGACCGCATGTCACGCCCCGTTAGGCAGCAGCAGGCAGCGCCCGGACTGCTTATTAACGCATAATTAGCATATTTAGTCTTGGTCTAAGATTGTGATTCCAAGCTGTCGCACAGGTCCACAAGGCACCCGCCAGCCCCCTCCATCCAACCAATCCGCCCCCGCCTTGAACGGTGCCGCCTCGTTGACATCGGCTGCAATTTGTCGATTTGTCACACAATTTCAGCAGCAACGAATTCAGTCTTCATCCATGCAATGGGGCAAAGCGTTCCCCCTTTCCACTTTGTACTTCTCCCCTCCTTATTGCCAACGTCTTCGGCGCCGTTTCCATCATCGAGCGCCAACACGGTCCGGTCCGTTCGTGGTCATTGCGAGCTAAGCCTCATTTAGCTACAGCACTCTATTACTTGAACCAATTGCCCAGTCAGGTCGTGGAGCGTGTCTGACTAGCGGTTACCCTATACTCAGTTCCGAACAAGGTGTGGAAAATAACAGCTTTCAATTGTATCGCTGTTAAGTTTCTCTCGTAACGAAATGTTGTGTGCGCAAAGAAAATCGCTTAGTATGAGCTCTTACAAAATTTTATTTGAAAGCTAGGCTTGAAAATGTGGATGTATGTCGCTATATTGTCGATATTTGGAGATTCATTTATAAAAACGAGACCATAAGATGCTCTTAACATCCACAGCATCCACAAAGAGAGCGGCTGAAGATCGATTTATATTGATTTCATAAGATTAAAGATTAAATTGATCTCTGTGGGGTAAGCAAGATGTGCTCCGAGACGAGCGTGTATTTTGACTTGTCTAATTTGTTTTTGAGGAAAGTATCGATAGAAACAGACTTTTTTTTAATAAACAGGAAAGATAAAAAATTCTTTAGCTGTTGTTGCTTATAAGATCAATACATAAATACCGAAAGGATTCAATGTTGCCTTCTGCTGCCTGCTACGTTCTTTGGCACAAGCATGTTATACCCCTCTTACACAATTTACATCGGTGTAGGGTGTAACAAGCGGCCGAGCGACCTGCCGCCCACCTTTCAGTTGTTGCTGAAGTTGTCATTGTGGTTGTTGCCGTTGCTGTTGCTGTTAATGTTGTTGTTGTTGTTGTTGTTGTAGTTGTTGCTGTGGTGTCTGTTACAGTTGTGCTGCTTGTGCCATTCACTTTATGAACATTTCAGTTGCCAACGCCAGCAACAACAACAAAAGCAACAATTGTCGCTTTGACATTTAACTACAATTACTTTTTAGTGGTCTTTCATTGGCTTTGCCTGCTTCGTGTTGCCGTTGTTGTTGTTGTTGCTGCTGCGACATTTTGGTCTGTTTGCCCGCCCCTCACCCCTCGATGTTGTCTATAACGAAACTTGTTATAATTAAAATATGCGCATTTTTTTCAAGGTGTTGCTGGCAATTAAATTGAAAATGTTTTTCTGCAGCCAAACAGCTGACCAGACCCAGAGAGAGAGAGGGAGAGAGAGTGAGAGACCTAGAGGGAGTGGGAGACGGAGAGAGAGAAAGTGCTGGCCAATAAATCAAGGCAAATGCAAACAGAATCTGCGCTCTGCGCATTGCGTGTGACAGCCATGAATAATGCCTACTTGAAGGTATAACCAATTTGGCCATAATTGCACTGAGCCCAAATGTGATGCCCGACAATGCTCCCATCGGGCGTACCATGTGGTAGTTTAGTTATGCTCTGTTGGCCTGAACTTCGTTTGGCCCGAACCTGTTGTAGTTGCTGAAATCAGCCACAGGGCCATAGCAGCTTTAAGGTGTGGCTACAAATGCCTCTAAAAATACCCTAGCGGAGGGTAGTCCAAAGAAGAATAGACAAATACAATACCTTAAAGTATATTGTTTAAATACGAAAGAAAAATTGTTTGGTTGTTAAAAAGATTCTTCGTTTAGTTTGCTGTCTAAGCAGCTCGACTATGGGATTGAGTCTATTAGCTAATCGAATTTCCCTGCTTGTATAAACATCGTACAAGTATATATCACATATTTTCTATCGTATAGAATGTGAAACCGTACTTGAGCTAAGCGATTTTGAGGTTCCTTCCTGAAAACCCTCAACAGAAAAAGTTGGATAAACAACAGCTGAACGTTAGCCAGATTCTGAACTCTTGTAAGAAATGTGAGGAAGCAGGGCTTAAACCAAAACCTGGCTTTACAGATTCGACAAATCAGATTCGCGCACAGGGGTTCGATTCCCTTGCTCACTGCGCTCCTCTGGTACATATCATTTAGTCGCCCTTTTCTATTTATAGCTATAATATCCAGAGTATTTAATCTTCGCCAACTGAAAGTTAACTGTTTGTAGCTAGTTTTTTTTAGCCTATTTCTGTGTCTGTTATGGGCGTGGGCGCTTGTCGTGTGTTGGCCACAAATACCGCTTGCTGCCCGACTCGAGTCTGAAAGTGGAGCTGGCTAGCAAACTGGCTTACTTTCGCAGCAGGCGGTGGTTGCATTCGAGGTGGTTGCATTGTTGCAGCTAGTTGTTGCTGTTGTTGTTGCTCTGTGCACCGTCTGTCTATAACTTTGGCATTTACAATATTTAATCTCATATTTGCGCGAGGGAGGGCTCTCAAATGTCGCGCTCTGCCGAGGCGTTACGGCCAAATGGCACAACTTATGGATACTTAATGCCAGCGCGCTGCGCTTGCGGGCTGTTTGACTCGCATATTGGTGTGTTGCCTGGCAGCAGGCAGCATTCGGCTGGCAGCATGCAACATGCGGCTTGTCGCATGCGGCATGCGGCATCTATGGGCTGCAATTTAAAGCGTTTTCATTTTTTATGCATGCATTGCATAGCATTTGTAGCTCATTTGCATTCGTGGTTGTTGCTCGCCGCACATGTTGTTGTTGTTGTTCTTTCTTCTTCCTCTTCTCGTTGTTGTTGTCGTTGCTCTGCTCGTTGTTGTTGCCGGCGTCTGCCATGCAATTTGCTGCAAAATGAAACCGAACAAACCGAGCGCTCAGCATTTGGCAGCATTAAATTTAATTTTATTAAAAAACTTTGAACCAGCCACATGTGTGTGTGTGTGTGTTGTGGGTGTCTCTGTGAGTGTGTGTGTGTGTTGTGTGTTGCCTGGGAATTTTACAATTGACAACATGAGCGAGTTGCTGTTGCTGCTTCGTGCTGCTGTTGTCGCTGTCGTTGTCGCCGCATGTTGTTGACGTGTCTGTTGCTGCCGTTTGCTGTTGCTGCCGTCTGCTTCTGCTGCTCGCTTTTTTGTTTTATTGTCGCCCTGTGCGGGCGTGTCGAGCGTCGCTGCTGGCTTTGATGACAACAGCGCTCGATAAAGTTTTCAGTTTTCAGCAGTTCGAGTGTTGGCAACGAGACTGAAATTGGTAACAATTACCTATACTTTTACAGCTTGCACTTTTTTGCTGCTATACTCTGTTTAATATGTGCGATACGAGTATATTGGTTCTGCAGCTGTCTCTTTGCTTGAGTGAAAGTCATTGTAGTTTTTTTATTAGCTACTTTGAGATGCTTCTGCTTCTAACATCTACAGACTTTGCTTT